CAGCCTAATTCCGAGAACGCTACCATTGGCGTTCCAAAGCCTTGTCTTATAATGGTGCCTCCCCGTGGGATGTCCTTCCAGTCTTGACACCACAACACCCATGATAACCCTTCCCCACCAAGTTTCTACCCCTCGTGTAGACACCAGTGGCACTCACTCGTGTCTGTGACACCACATGACTTAATATCTTCCACTGGGAAGAGAAATAGTCTGACCAGGTTGTTTGGTTGCTTCTGAGATTCTGGTCAATGACTTACTTATTATAAGTGACAGGAAGAAAAATTCTCCTGATGTTAATCCCATGGGTTGATTCTGAAATCCAACTTCCTCCCCCAGCTGAAAACACTCCTAAGCCACTTCCTTTTGTCCATTTAGGATATACTTAGTAATGTTATAATGCCATTAATGTGAGTCTTAATACAAAAAAGCAGGCAAATCACAGGCGGTCTCCCTCTGCACCTCTCTGGCCCGGTTTCCCCCAGTCTTCTTCCAAGCTCATCAACCTCTCCCAAGCTTTTTTCTGATGGCATCCCTTCCCCAAGTTTCAATTTTCACCAGGGACTCACATACGTAATTCTCCAGCTCAGATCTCTCCACTGAGCTTTAGATGTACGATCCAACTGCCCACCTGACACTGAATGCCCCGGACATACCAATGTCAAAGTCAATAGCTGCGGATGCTGGAAAACCCAACGCAAACTGACTTACATAGCAAGGGGACCTCTCACGTGGTAGGGCATGCTTTACTCACAGCCTCTGGAATTGCACTTCAAGATGGTAGCAAGATGGCTACTGCCATTCCAGGCACATTCAGTGTCTTAACAAAACAAAAAGTATCCCCCTCTTCCGGTGATCTCTTTTGAAGTGCAAGAATACCTTTCCCAAAAGCTCCCAAGAAGAAATACTCACAGGTTTTATGAGTCACTGAGACTCTGCCCACAACAAAACCGATCAAAGGGCCAGATATGCCTGCTTGCACCTATAATCTTAACATTTGGAGGCCAAGGCTGGAGGATCACTTGAGACGAGGAGTTTGAGATCAGCCTGAGCAACATAGCCTGAAACCCCATCTCTACAAAAAATACAAAAATTACCCTGGTGTGGTGGCACGTGCCTGTACTCCCAGCTACTTGAGAGGCTGAGGCAGGAGGATTGCTTGAGTCTAGGAATTTGAGGTCCCAGTGATTATGATGATGCCATTGCACTTCAGCCTGGGCAACATAGCAAGACCCTGTCCCCCCCCCACAAAACCCCAAACCACCTTAAAGGCCATTGAAGGCAAGTGAAACTAGTCTGTCAGAATTCGCTTGGGCTAACTGAGATTGTCTTTGGATGCCTGGACTTTAGGCAGTGGAGAGACACGATCAAATTTATATTTGGAAAACATCACTTTATGTGGAGAACAGATTGAAGGGGCACAAGAGTCAGAGAGCAGTTGGGAAACTATGGCAGCGGTTCAGGCAAGAGATGATTGAATGAATTTGATGGTGGAGATGGAGAACTGAATGAGTTCCAGAGATATATAAGCGGTGGTGTGGGCTGGGTGTGGTGGCTCACACCACATCCTAGCACTTTGGGAGGCCAAGGTAGGAGGATTGCTTGAGCTCAGGAGTTTCAGACCAGCCTGAAGAGAGACTCTGTCTCTACTAAAAGTAGAAAAAAAATTAGCCGGGCATCGTAGCTCGCACTTATAGTCCCAGCTACTTGGGAGGCTGAGGCAGGAGGCAGGATCGCTTGAGCGCAGGAGTTTGAGGTCACAGTGAGCTATGATGACGCCACCACACTCTACCCAGGGTGACAGAGTTGAGACTCTGTCTCAAAAAAAACAAAAACACAAAAAAACAAAAAACAACAAAAAAAGAGGTGGTACAGACAGAACTTGGCCGTGGAGTAGTGGGGGGTGGGGGGCGTAGAAGGAGGTGTCGCAGCTGACAGCTAGATGGCGAGGCCATTCACTGCAGTGAGAAACAGTGGCCCACAGGCAGGTTTGGGTGGGAAATGGGAAAATATGAGTTCTGCTGGGGGTGGGTGTGTTTGGGGTGTTTCTGGAAGCACTGTTGTTGCTCGTGTACCCGATACCCATTTTCGCCTTTATCTTTGCTGACAGACCCTCAGTTCTGTTGAGTTCAGTCCCTTCAGTGGTTCCCCACCGGGCAAAGAGCAAATGCCTTACTCCAGCCCCGGCTGGCCCCAGGTTGCAGCCACTCTGGCCTTCTTCCAATTCCTGGGGGGCGCTGCTTGCCCACCCTGCCCTACCACAAGAGGGGCACTTTGCACTGGACGTCCCCTTTGCCTGGCTCACCCCTCCTTTCCCCCACAAAGATCTCAGCTCCGGCACCACCTCCTTAGGGCAATTTCCTGTGTCCTTGGGAGATGACGTGCGTAGCGTCTGTCTCCCACGCTGTACTCCATGAGGCGGGAACCGTGTCTGGTTTGTTCCCCATTGTCTCTCCAGCCCCCCGCCTGGATATACGAGGTACGCAATGAGTATTTGGCAAATGAAGAGCAGAAGCAACGAAAGTACACTTAAAAAACGAACTGCACTGCCACGCTCTGCACCAAGAAAGTAGCTCCTTACGAAAATCAGGTTCAAGCACCATTTCTTTAAGACCGAAATATAAAGTGCTGGGAAAAATCCCAACTAATCCTAAACCTCACCTATAAAACATTTCCAATTACTTCATATTACAGTGGCTATTCTAAATTTGGGGAGCATATTTGATATTATATTTGTGTCAAAAGGTTCTTTTTGCATCAGGACTTAACGGATATGTGATCTCTAGGAATATTCAGGGCTCCTGGTCATGTTTTAATCAACGAAATATTCACTTTTTCCATTCTTCTTTTGGTCTCTGAAAAATTAATGATACAAAACAGTTTAGATCGCTGACTTACTACTAAAGGCCTAAACAGAAAGAAGGAAGGGGCAAAGTGATGCAGGTGAGTTGAAATGTGTATTTTTAACTCAATCCATTTGCCCCTAAATCCTTTTCTGAAAGGTACATTCCTATACACATATCACTGATTACACATACTGGTCAAGATACGAAATGATTAGCTGTGTGTATTAATGTCTTAGAAAAAATATAATTAACACATTAAAACCATGATTTTATAAATGGTAATGTTTAGGATGAGACCAAAGTAGGCATTAAAGTTTTTTTTTTTTCCAAGTAAATGGATTTAAGGTAGGACGTTAAATAAGGAATAGTCCTATAGTTAATAATCATCCTCAGATATGGCAGAAATCACAAGTTTTTGAGAATTATTGAAGGCTCAGAAACACCGCTGTAGAGGAACGAGGTAGTTTTCGTGCCTTCTACGTCCTCACTGAGCAGCGCAGTTCTTGCGTGAACGTCACAAGCGTGCTGCCCGTGCTTGGTTGCCTCACGCTTTCCTCCCTGCCCTGTCCCCATAACTCCCAGCCCTTGAGTAGGTGGATAGATGGAGAGATGGATGAAGGAATGGATTTTACAGACAGACTACAACATTTCAAAATGACATCAGAGTAGCTGATGGACCACTGTGAATATTCGTGCCTTAAGGAAAAGCAACCAATATACAATGTTGCTGCTCAAACAGGGCTGAAGAAAATTGATTTCCTTTTATAATCAAACAGCATCTTGAACACGGCATGACACTACAAATAACCACCCACTCTCTTAGCATACTGATGACTATACCACCAGCCACAAGAGCAATCTTCCTTTGATTGACATTATCTGTGGAAACCCACCTTACTCTGTGGTTTCAAA